ACACTGGATGCTAATGACGTGGAGCCACCTGCGGACCACCCCCAAAGACCTCACTCCAGTCTGCCCCGAATCGTGCTTATTACACTCCAGAGAGTTCCTGATTAGAGTTGTCTTGTTTTAGACACTTTATTTAGTTCTTCACTTTGTTTCTATTATTAAAGCCCAAATGACAGGATGGATTTTCAATTCAATATGATTTAATAGCAATGTGTTTTTTGATATATACTGTCTATGTTTCAATATATATATATATACACATATATACATAGGTTTTGATATGTTTCTAAACAATGGAATTTTTGGCCACAACGCTATGGCCAGAAATCGCCATGAAACAAAAATACATCGATGTATTGATACATTTATAGATTATTTATTGAAGATTAATTGTTAATGATGTCAAAATATCCAAACAAATTCTTTATATGTTCACATGGTTTCTTTTTTTATCCGAGACCATCTGTTTAAAATACAGACAAAATATAAAATCAATATTGTATCTAATCAAATAGAAATAAAAACAATACATAAATACATTAATTTATTATGCCACATAGAGGTGTACTAAAAAAGAAATCTTTAGCACACCTCTACCTGCTGTAGCAAACACAAGTCTCATTTACACAAAGTTTATGGAAGGAAAAGTTGAAATTCTAACCCCAACCTAGAACTGGTTATGAATGTTTTAGCTGACTTCCTTTTTATTCTTTACATCCTTTGACATATGGGGAGGGATTACATTTTACGATGAAGCATAACTGTAACATTTTGTCACAAACTGTGTCTTGACTGACATAAAACTGCTCTAAATATTCACCAAGTCAGGCTCCACTAAGAAAAGTCTTAAAATCTCTATTGTCGTGCCATTCCATATGCTCAGGCCCGGCACGTATTTACCGTATTTGTGTAAATGCTTTTATATGTGTGATAATAAAATGCATCTCTGAAAGACCATGAAAGTGTTAGTGGCGCTCTGAGCTGTGGAGGAAGTTAGAGGAAACCCGACCCTGGAGTCGCATCGTCACACTTTCATGCAGTGTACCTTTACTCATTTTTGTTTACTGTTCATGTCAATGCGTCTCTGTCCAGTGTGAGTGAAATAAAACAGCTTTAAAAACAGCAGGGCTTTTACAGTGGTCACTACAGAGGGTTTTGACCAAAGCCGGTGACATCATGCTTTATTTCTACCTGATTCTTGAGAAGCTAAAAAGGAATCCATTAACAGAGGGAAGCTGGTTTATCACAGCCCTGCCACAGTGACGCCACAGCCCCTGTGGTCATAATTTCAGGAGTGAGAACAAACAGATAAAGAGGCAAACTCTGAAAATGTGTAGATTGAAAATTAACATTGATTGTAATAAGATGGAGATGATTATTACCTCCATCCTTTCACTTATGCAGTTTCTGAGAATGGCCAAATAATAATGATAATAATAATAATAATGAATGAATGGTTGAAAAGCTACCATTTCAGCTGAGATTTTTGTTATCTTCTTAATATTAAAAGGATTTTTTTTTAGTCTTGTTTTTTATTATTATTATTCATCTTCTTTGAGGGTTCCTTTTTCCTACTATGAAGGAAAAACAACGCAGATTTTTAAGTATTTGTACGTTTAAAGTGTTCTGTTAAATGGTGCTTTAACAAACATGTCAAGCTATCTCTTTACTTCGGCAAACGTTCCTCAAATATGAGCGTGGAACTCATTCACGCCAATGAGTTTATAGTAGACTCAAAGACTTCCAGATTAGGCCACATTACAAAAAACACTAAGAGCTGCTTCTAGAACATATTTGCACTCGGGAAAAAAACTATTTTATCTGAACTGTTTCGGGCCGAACAGGTACATGGCCTTTAAATATTCCCCATTTCCTATGTACAGTATCTGGTCTTAAGCACCTGACGTTTAATCCGCAGGGCAGAAGCAGACTACAAGGAGGTGCAGAGGAGCTGCACTTGAGATTTAAGGATTTTCTACATTGCCAAAAGGACAGAGTCATGCCCACATAAGTGATGCAACATTTTCACCATTTATCCTCCATTAAGAATTCATACGCATCAGCAGGTGACTTCAAATACAATAAGATAATTCACTGTCAAGGCAGAAATCACTGAATGTTGTCACTGGGATATTAGTCTATGTCAGGGGTGTCAAACTCATTTTGTTTGTTTGTTTCCTTTTATAATCATGATTTATTTTCACCTATTTTGTATTTTGACAATTGATCATTTTATTGTCAAAATAAAAAAAGGTTTGACATTGGTTTGGATATTATTTTCTGTGCCAAATATCAATAAAAGATGTAGGTAAGTAGTAGTAATGTTTATTTATATAGCGCATTTTACGGACCAAGGTCACCCAAAGCGCTTTCAAATGTTCAGAGTCAGTCAATCATTCCACACACGGTGATGACGGAAGCGAGTCGCCGAACACACTGGCGCATCAGCCCGCAATCAACACCATACATTCACTCTCTCATATACAGTACATTCATACCTATTGTGCTTAAACTTCCCTTAACTTAAGTCTACATTTTAGATAATTCATGTGTATGTCCGTAGTCCTGAGAAATAAGCTTTAAAATTATGTATAGCATACCATACTAAAAATATATGAAAATCATTTCAGGGGTCACTAAAATGGTCCTGTGGGCCAAATTTGGCCCTTGGGCGTGAGTTTGATATGCTTGTCTTAAGATGTTGTACTGAAATAAGTTAAGTTACATGTTTTACTTTGGGCTGAAGGTGTTGTATGCGTTGATAAACTACTTACAGATACTGAAAGAATGTATCTTGATTAGTTGTGAGTAAGAAAGTAATAATTATTTAAGTAGCACATTTCACAAACCAAAGAGCTTTACAGTGTTGGTGTAGAAGTCATTTCCATTCACTCCACACACACTATACTCCACTATCGATACACTTACTTTTAATTACATACAATCTGCAGCTGCTAAAGTCCTGAGATCTCGGAGGGAAAAAGGAGTTTGCTGTCGTCTCCTTGCTGGAGTGATCTACTGTTCTCACCACTTCCTGACATTACAGCACTCGGGAGCCTCACTGCTGTTCATTAGAGACATAATTACATCAGCACAAGATCCACTATCTACTCACCTCTGCTGTCTCCACCCACTGCACTTCAACAGACCTATTTCTATTCCTACAGACAAAGTCCTTGTTATACAGAAGAATTCACAGACAGAACATCTAGGAATGACGTGACACTATTCAATCCTTAAATTACGTTTTATAAACTAACAATGGTTACATATTGCAAGAACAATGGTCCTTTGGTTATTGCAAGGCCTACATTCTGAAAATAAGCAAAATCCGCAAAATGGCAGCTATATGTTTTAAGGCTGTAAAACCCCTCACCATTTGAACTCACAACTGCTCAAGTGTGATCAAAACTAAGTGCTGCTACAGCTCTCAAAAGCCGTGCATAAACTGTAAAATACAACAGCATAGGACACTGCACTGAAGTGTAGGAGCAGGACTGAGGGCTACAGGAAGACCACTGCAGTCCTCCGAACCAATCACAGCGGTGCACACAAGCCACAGGAGTTTTCTTCTGACTTCAAAGAAAGGTACAGTAAGTGTTATGTTATACTAGCGGTCACATGATGTTATGTATGATGTTGCTGGAGTGGCACAAAATTGCACCCAAAAATATCCATGAAACAGCAAAGCTGCGAAAATTGATCTGCAATATAGTGAGGGGCCACACATTTTAGGCAAAACCAAAAGTAGATTTTTGTTGAGGACAGATTTTAGGTCAAACTCAAATAAACAGAACAGTACTTTTCAATCCTGGCACATTGTCAGATAAGAGGCCTACCCCCTGTTCCTCCTCATTGACACACAAAGTGCCTGTAGCCTGCAGTTAGTGTGAACTAGAGCACAGACAATAATGGTAATGATGGAGAATCATGTGCTGCTCTGGTGCAGATGACCAGCTGACTGGATGACTGCTGCTGGAGCCCACAGGCTTCCTTCTTTCACACAACACAGACAGAAGATTCAATACTCACTACTGAATAATCTCATTACGCTGTCACAATCTGAGATTCTTTCATTCTATATTATACATATATGTATGTTCTAAACTCACAAAGATAACTGAAGATAATGTAATAATTGTTTAAATGTTTACATTTAAGAACGACAATTGTTTGTGTAGTGTTGGTTTGGTCATTCCGATGGTTGAACCAAACAATCATTTTGTTGCTCATGTTCAAGTAATATTCATTAGTATTATGTCAGTATTGTGTAAGTTAAAAACCTCAGCCCTGGGTCATGGGGCCGTTTGTTTGTCTGCAACTGCAATCAGAACAAAAACTAAGACTCAAACATGCAAATCTGAGTTTGAATGTGAGATCACACAATAGAACAGTGTGTCTTTGGTCTCCACAGTGTTCTGGATACTGAGCATGTGATCAGATTTACTGACACACTTTCACATCGTGCTAATCTCCACTAACTGTAGAAATACAGAAGGCTTCTGATAATCACTGATGTTTATCTCATATCATTAAGTAAACATTATGAGAGTCAAATAAAGACATGATAAAGTTACTGATGCCAATTCAACAACATTCTAGGTTTTGTAAAATAGGATACAAAGTTTGGCTGAATATCACTATACTCTGTTTATGATAAATAAAGCTGACCTTAGTTATATTCTACAGTCTATTTGTCAAAGATGGAAGTGTAAATATGTAAAACAAAAACAAAACATTTTTTTTAGGTCAGTTATGTGTTTTACCAAAATTACTTTGTTTAGTTTGATCCCATAATATTGAGACGGGTATTTGTTCTAAATGATTCCAACTATGTTTTTTACATAAACCTCCAGCATCAACTGTACATGGATGGATTAAACCCCTAAACACACTTTCAGCTTGAACACAACCCTTGTGTTTTCTAAATAAACATTCCACAGCAGATGTTTGATGCAAAGCTTTCTTTCTACATTATTGATTCTCCCAAAAGCAGTTGTGCTTCAGCTGTAAGACAGTGGTACCTGCGGCAGGGCGGAGCTGAGCTGGCGCTGCAGAGAGTCCCTGTCGTACATGACGTCCTGCAGGTGCTGCTGGGCCAGGCCCAGGCTCTCCTGAGTCTCCCGCAGAGTGTCCAGGAGCCGGTCCCGTTCGTCCAACATGTTCACCATCAGCTGCTCGAAGTGAGAGTCCGGGTCCGACGAACTGCTCTGGGAGCCGCGCTGGCTCAGGGCAGTGTCCTCACTGATGGTGGGCATCACCTCGCACATCATCTTGGCTCTGTAAAAGAGGAACATTTAAGTGGTTATAAAACAGCCACATCCATTTGAATTGATATACATTGTAAAGCCACTACCTTGAGATTAGTAACAATCCTTAAACTACATGTTTTGCATTATTTCATCTGCATAACAGAATGAGAAAAGTCATGTGAGTGCATCTCTAACTAGCTTACTCATGTCTACTGTGGTGAAAATGTCTTGTTGTTTACATTTCAGTGCGTGCTCGTGATTGAGCTAATAACTGCTGCTGCATTACCCAGCATTTCAAAGCAGCAGAGACGTCTTTTAGGCTGCCCATTCTGCCCTAGATTTCACGCTTGTGCTGGTTAATGGGCCAGCTCAGATCCAGTTACGTAATACATGGTATTTATACTATATAGTAGTGGTCATGTGGGGCCATAATAGTCTCCAGATACCTAACCTCAGAGGACAATCATTGAGCTTGAGGCTTGGACAGCAGTCTCTGTGCTTTACCTATATCTTTAGAATGCAATGTAATCTGAAAAAAAAACCTACACACATGCTACCCAAAATGTTTATGTTCAAAATCACATACAATCACACGCTTTCACATAGACCCTCTAAGTTGAAGAGCTGATATTTCTCAAAGACAGACTCTGCATAATGGCAGGTCTGTGAGTCACAGCGTGTACTGGTGGTGCACTGAGGTCTCCCATATCGTGCCCAGGCATTAAGCCAGACTCCCCCAGTTCAGCATTCAGACAGCCATTTAGAGCTGAGAGACCGAGCCTGCAGCTTGGATCAACACACGCTTATGTCACAAGGCTGTGCTCGTCCGGAGAAAAGGCTTATCCAACAAATCGAGGATCAGGCGAAGCATTCCTAAAAGGAACTGGCTGTTTGACCCACAAGATCAATAGTTTTAAGGACGTACACAGCGAAAAGCTCAAAGGATGAAATATATCTGCTGAGAAAGACAGAGTTGTTTGTTTCATTTCTGACTACAGATCACCTCACTGTTCACAATTACATCCACATTGTGAATAAACATAGGATTGCATTTGTAACAAATAATCATGGACAGCAAACATTTAAAAATCAAGACAAAACAAAGTGGTGCCATAGAAATGTATCCTGCAATAAGGCTGTCAAAGCAAAAGCAAGTATCGATCTAAATAATCCAGAATATGTATGAATCAACATAATAAGTTGACTGTAGTTAATTTGAAAAGATGCCAGTCTGAAAAAGACAGCGATGTTCAGTTAAATGGAGAGCCACAGATGCAGACATGCTTGTATTATTGGGCTGCTCTCTCAATGCCATCTGTCAATCAATAAATAATTCATCAAAAGAAAAGTATTCCTCTAATCAGTGCATAAATCAGCTTCCTTCTGCCTCTCAGACAAATCCAGACGTTTAAACAATACACACTGTATCCAACATCTCATAATGATTTTATGTATAAAATCACATTTGAACAAATCCCAATGAGCTATTTTGACTAAACTGTTTTATACCTTTTATTTTGTACCAACACTGTGATTCAATTTGTCCACAAACAAATCATCATGGTATGACAGAAAACTAATGCCAAAAAGCAGATCAACTTTATGACCTGCTGTAAATCAAAGTGAGAGTGAAGGCATTCTGTAGTTGTACAGGTTTAATGCTTCCTGTTTGACTGTGATGGTGTACAAAAGCTTAATCAGGGACAAGTGTTGTAAATTAGCGGTTGCTGTGTACTGTGTCGCATAAATTATTTAACAAGAGTCTGCCAAAATTGTCCTTGCCACATAAACAAGAGAATGTGAAAACATGTGTGTCAGTAGTTTATGTCAATGATTGTATTAAACTGGTAGATTCTTCTTCTCAACACTGGTTTATGCTCTTAGGCTAGATTTTAATTAAAAAATGGTTATACTGTCAAACATTGTCAAGTAAGTTTGTTTGTTCTATTATCATGTGTAATTATTATGGTAAATGACACATAATATTCCAACAAAAATAAAACATAAAATTCACATTATATGTTTTTATTAATGCATACATTAATAAGGTCTTATGCTATCATCTGCACTTTTAAATTCATGTATTGTGATTATAAATGCTCATGTTTCGTGTCTTCTTTTTAGCACGCCGAGTTACCATAAACTGCACTATACAACTAATCTCCTCGCCCTGCCTTGTCTTGACATAACTTCTCCCATCTCATTAGCGGGAGCAGATAAGAACCAGCCAACCAAACAAAACCCCAGGATTCATTTGAGTTGTTGTGTGTGTGTGTGTGTGTGTGTGTGTGTGTGTGTGTGTGTGTGTGTGTGTGGCAAATTCAGCATTATTCTCCAGCTGGAAACATTTAAACCTGCAGCGCGAGAGAGAACGGAGAGACAGGACAGAGAACGGCTCTCGGTGCCTTTGGAGATAAGCACGGGGCTTGTCGAGTGGCCTCTAAAGACACAAAACACATTTAATGACAAGCTTGACCTGGGTGCTTTCTCTGATAATGTGTTCAATCAAAGTTAATTAGGATTCACACTCTTTTGATATGTACGAGCGCTTCTATTATTGCTTAGCGTAGAAACCCACAGAAGCATGTACTGCAGCATTCATTTAGTTGTAAATTGTTATAATGCTAATTTGATGTGACGCGAATATAGCAGGTTGCAGACAATAGAGCTCACTAAATAATGACTGTGGACGACATGGCTGAGTGCGTGTAGCTGAGTGCATATACAGACTACACTTAAATCACAACAGAAGAAGAAGAAGAAGCTCGTGCACACTTCTTGGATCTACATCAAACTGACAGGTGGTAGAAGAGTGACACAGCGTTTTTCAGACTAGAGTGAACCAGATGGAACATGTGCTGACAAATCACATTCATACAGACGGGGATCCCACAAACTTCTGATAGCCAATATGAGGCCTGCTTAGTTCTATAATTGAGCTGAAATCCTTTGAATGAGCACTGCTTCTGGAACTTCCTTGTCTATCACAGTGCATATTTGGTAGAGAAAACAAGGGAGAAGTATATTGATGAAAGTTATGGATAAATGTTATTGTTTACTATGAAATGAATGAGAGTGTTTCATGTGCTATCGGTGTAATCGCTAAAGCCTTTTGGTGGGTAAGATATGGCATGTAACCGCAAGGCCTGTCACGATAATTACTATATCAATTAATCGTCCAATACATTTGTTTTGGTCTCATTCATTTATTGTCTATTTTCTTTGCAATAGTGAGAAGATACTTGAAATTCTTTTTTGTAATTTGAGCATGAAAGTTGAATTTATAGGTAATCACTTATTTAGGGAGATGTTTGTACCATATGGAATGGGTGCACCAATATTTGCTGAAAATAGAAGGGCAGAAACACAGCCTTGTGGGTCACTGGGAATATATTTTTGAAGACAGGTGCGGCTTTCAGTAAAGCCGTTAAAAATATTTGTCATTCTGCTGTTATCATTATGACTTTGAATGATAAAGACCAATTAAGAATGGTTCACATGGATTCTCCTGCTGTTTTGTCATTGCACCAGTGGTATTGTTTCAGTAATATCATTTATCGAAATACATCTGTGTATCAATATACTCTCCATCCATTTTTTGAATCATAACAGGCTGTGGTCTCAACTTGACCCTACCTGCCATAGTGTTGTATATTGAATTCCAATAAGACTAAAATCAAGATTGATCTAGGCCTGTTGTGATGAAAAATATTATTAAAACAACTTTGTTCCACTGGTGCAATTACAAAACAGCAGGAAAATCCCTGTGAATCCATTTCAATTTGTCTTTATCATCAAAAACAAATAAACAGCTGAATTAGACAATAATTATCCATAAAAATGACACATTAATCTCAAACTGTGTGATTGTATTAAAAAACAAATATTCTCTCACTATTGAAAACGAAATGTAATATTGAGCCCAAAATGATTTCAGTCCCTCCATTAGTTGTGAAAGACATATTTTATCTGATTACCTGGCCCTAGTTCATCCGTATCAGTTATTTTGGTCTTTAAAAAAAAAAAACATATATATATATATATATATATATATATATATATAATATGAATTGGTTTTAATGTGTGTAACTTTGCTAGTTTCCATGGAGATGATGCTGTCCAATGCTTTACACCCAAGCAAAGCAATGACACAGAGTATGGACACAAGATTAGAATTGGTTTTCACATCTCATTGTTTTTTTCTGAAAAATGAGCAAGAATGAATCATGAGCTGAATGGTCTAGTTTTCAACAAGCTTTCCCTTTCTCCCCCATTAGTGAGCCACAGCCTGTGCATCAAGCCTCTATTCATATATGTGTGCATTTATGGTGCTGCTATGTGAGCATCTCAGGAGAGGAAGGATGAGCCGGGAATGAGGCACCATCTGATGTCAGCCAATGTGTGGTCATTGGCTGTGGGTTCATCTGAAAATAAGTCTCTGTATGCGCACATGAAAGAGCCTGCTTTAACACCAACCACAATCCCCGGCAGCAAGGTCACGAGAATCACAAATCAATAGGAATTTAATAAAAATTGATTGAGGTGAAAAATATGCCTTATGTACTAAAATAAAAACAAATTCTAAATCTTTGCAATGTAATTTACAGCAAAGGGGTTATTCCCCTTTCTTATATGCATTGTGTCTGAATGTATCTAAGCTATTATACTGAATTAACCCTGCTGCTGCTGCTGCTGCTGCTACAGGTAGCATCCTCGGGCTCATACATCTCTGCGGAAAAGATTATCTTACTGTCCATTCTTATTTATCTCCATAATGAAATCATAGCTTTCCCAGGAGCCATTAACCTCTCTTGTGAGCCAACATCTCAATTAGACTTTCATTTTGTCCATCTTATATCACGGTAATTTAGCATTTACAACAGCAGATGGATGGCACTGACTGACCGCCTGTCATCCTGTCTCCCTCGTTACATCTGCATAACTGCCAGTAATAGCATTGTTTATACAAGGGGCAACTGGTTTCCTCATGACAACTGCTCCTTTTGACGCTATTATCCACA